ATTGTATATTATTTTATCTATTTTTAAAGAGATTTTTCACACAAAGCGCAGAAACAGCTGCACCGATTAGCGTAAAATTTGGTATGAATATAGATGTGTCCAACCTACACTGCTCCACCCAAGGTTTTTTTTTTGATGGACCCCATATTTAAGGAGGGGGATCCATCTGAAATGGGTGTTACTGGAAATACAAAAATGCTTATAACTCAAAAACATTTCAACCCAGGAGCTTCAGATTTTTTTATTTATATATTTATTTTTTAGCTCTGATGAGGGTTATCCATCGGGACCACCAATGAGCACTCCCCACCCCTCCGGATCCCGACCCAAAGCAATAAATAAGTTCTGGTGCATTGGTGCTTTGCGTATGTGCGGGGGTAATGCAGTGCTGTATCTAGTGGTTGAAATCCTGCCATTGGCAGTGATGTTTTATTTACTAATTTTGAACCAACAGTAACAGTTTAACTGTTCAACATATATATAATTTTATGTGTCTTTTTATTTTCTACCTGTCTTCTCCCTTAAACATGTTWCCATGAAAGCAGTCTCTGGTGGAATTACCCAACACAGCCGGTAACTGAACCTGCTGTTCGAAAAGTTTATAGAATAACATTTTAAAGGTTATGTTTTTCAATTACAGTCTGGTTTCAGAACTACAAAGTACATCTGTGTACACCCCCCCCCCCCCCCAGGGGCTATTGGTGTTGGAGCTCTTTTTTGATTCAGCAATCCGTCTATATCTCAACCTCTCTGTCTAGTGACCTGTGAACCCGTCGCTCTGTGGTTTCCATCTTCTCTCACAGCACCTGAGCATTGGCCTGACCACATCCTCAGATTACTTTACTTTGCTGGGATGCCCTTTTTATGTCTTCTATCCTCTTTCCTTTGTTGCATCTACCCGTGTGTGACCTMTGCACAACAGACTGCTCTGTTAAAGAAAAAAACGGGATGTGCGTGCATTAGATCCCTCAAGCTTCGAAGYTTTTCTTTACTTCCTGATTTTAGGAAATTTGCGACTCTGTGACCTTATYGTTCTATTCTATCATTATGAAATTTAAGTAAACACATTTCCTAAAYACAGTTAACAAATCAAAGTGTTTTACTTCCTCGTTATATTGTTTATTGCCCTGTATGATGTATTTTTATTTTAAATATGAAAATTACAATTTTTCTTAACAAATACTTTGGCAAGGAGAAAAATACCTTGCAAATGAAGACCTTTTTTACACTATAATTTTATTACTCTCTTTGTATTWGAAGGATCAAAAACAACCTGCCATGTGAGAAATTAAATGGAAACTATATTGCTAAAATCAGATCTCTGGATTTTTGTATCCCTGAACTTTTACCCTGTTTCTTCCCTAAATAAATTGTTTTCAGTGTAAATCTTTGATCCCAATGATCTTAATAATAACACTTTGCCAGAGTCTGCTCTGATTCTTCTTCCATGTTAAGTCATTCATCATTCATGTTGAGATATCCATCAGTCCATTAAGGCCACAAAGAAGCGGTTCAAGCCTGAAACACAGTTTGCACATTTCCTTGGGAGATAGAGAGAGGTTCTTTTTATGCCTCCCCGGTAGTTGCTGAGGCATCTTTAGGCTCGAGTGCAGGTTTGGTATTTCAGCCACAGCTATAAATCTTTAAACACTTGATTTCTCTTTCCTCTTTATGCGATCTGTCCAGGTTTTGATTTGCCGTAACTACATGGGGAACATGGACATGAATGAGATTGACCACTTCATGCCCATCCTGATGAAGAGGGAGGAAGACGCTGAGATGGCGCCGYTGGTCAGCCGTGGCTCGACGCACTTCCTGTGGATCAAACACAGCAACATTTACTGTATCCAATAAGAGTTTGTTTCTGATTTGTTAGTGTTTGTTGTCCAGGAGAAGTTCCAGTGTCCCGTTCTGATTGACAGCTCTRTTTTGAGCCACTCCGCCAGCAGTTACAGCTCACCTGTCAATCTTTTATCGATTTAATGTAAAAACAGTTTTATCTTCTCTAAACAGGTGTTTTTTTTCTTTTTTTAGTTTTTCCTGTCTGTTTTTTACGCAGCTTGAATGATGTGTTTTGTTCTTTTCAGTACGTTCTTCATTTTCTACTGTGTGATTGTGAGACTTTCCAACACATCATCATTAATTCAACATCATATTGCAGTTTGTGAGTAACTTMTATGCCTACTCCACTGCATTATAACTGAACCGGTTTACCTCACTGTAGTCGTGTCCCTAATTGCTCATGAATGTGATGCATTCATGGAAGTTTAGTTCATGTTGCACGCACTTTAGGGTTACTCATTGATCCATGATTAGTTGTAACATTAGACTTTATTTGATAAACATGTATTTTAACAATAAAATAAAAACTGTAAAAATACTGTAGGCTGTTTTAGTTTTTATAATTTTTTAACTAAAAGTTTAAAAATATATTATAC